GCTACTAGTTTATTGTGAGACAGAGGGGAGTGGGCATAGAGCTTGGAATCCGTAGGTTCTGGGTTTGAGCCCCACTCCCACATACTGTCACTCTGGGTTCCCTAAGCAAGACCCTTAACCCGAAACTGCTCCTCAGGTGCCACACAATGGCAGCACACTGCTCCCCAATGGGAATGGGTTAAATGCAGAGAGTTCATTTTGTTGCTATGTAAAGACAATAAAAGCTGGAAAATCTCTCTCTTTTATCAAAAAGAGACAGTTTGGTAAACTGCTGAGTAAAACCTTGATGTTCAGGACAGGATAATGATCCCAGAAAGCTTATAAAAACTAGTGTTGGAATGGACACGGTAGATTAAACATTATGCTTTTGGAATGGCCCTGACTTCAATTTGATTCTTCTGCATTAATCTCAATAAAGCCTACTGTTTCTGGTAAAACAAGAGAAATATCCAGTCAGGTGTGGCAAAGGGCTCCAAACCTCATGTGGTTTTGCTTAAACTTCCCAAAGAACAATTATTTAAAAGTACATATGGGGAATTATACAAAGTATGTTTATTTGAGCCTGTACTTCTAGCTTTGGTAGGTGAAAAAAAAATACATATAAATCCATGCATACACAAAAAAGCTGACCATTAGAAATTAATATAGAATCCTTAACATTGAGGATTTGATCTAAATGTATGACTGAAGTGGTGAATACGGAATTAATGCAACATTTAATCTAAAAATAAGTAAAACAAAAAATATTTAGTTTTGTTTGTTCTTTATCTAAACAAATAATAAAAGTTGTCTGTCCCATAGAACTATTATTTTGCCCCCTGAAATAAGACAATAATAGATACTACAATAGAACTTATATATATAGATACAAAAATCATATATCATTGGAAATCAAGTTCCAAAATAATTATTTAAATATGTTATTTACTTGAATTCTGTTCACTTTTTGCAGTAATTATGAGGGTTCTAGTTTAAAACACATCATAATTTTTGTTTTCATTGCTAATATAAACATGTTACCACAGCAATTTTGCTTTTCCTGTGAGCTCACAGAGGTGCTTTTATATGATGCAAGTTAAGCTTTTTAAAAGAAATCCCCACTTCTGCTTTTCAAAAATCAAATAATGTTTTTCCTGAAAAAGCATGGGAACTATTTGATCAGGTATATGTGCAGGAAAACAGTATATATCCTTAAACATTCTGAAAAGTTTCGGTTATTTTATTGCTGCATGCTCTGGAATACTTTGCATGCATGTCTCGCATTAAGCAAAGTCAGTAAATACCACATTTGTTAACATCATAGGGGAGGGGGCATCATAGGGGAGGGGACCCCCCCAACAGCTATGGATGCCTCTGAGAAGAAACGCCTTCTTTCTCAGTAATTCTGATGAAAAATACTTCTTTTCTTTTTGCCCTAGCAAATAAAGTAAGTTTCTTTTGAACAGACACTTTTCTTTGTTTTGTACTTAGATGCCTGATGAGAAGATTGTTGTACCATTTCTAACCCATGTCTCAATCTTTTGTATTGAAACATAAAAGACAAACCGTAGCCTCCTTTTCCATATTTATTAATGCTTCTCATCTGCTTTGTTCAGAAGCAAAAGCATTTAAATATACCCTAAAGGCAGATCTCCACCGATTATTATCACTTGTTTCTCTAGCCAAAGCTGGTTATTTACTTTTTTAAAGAGTTCCATCTGGTTTTAAAGGATGCTTTTATGTTTGTGGGATCATTACAGGTTTTAATTTTAGGATTGCAGAGCTGGTTCAAACAGAATGAAATTGGCTGAAATATACCTGCAGGAGTGATTAAATATATGAGGATTTTTTATGTTAAAAAAAAATCCCTTATAAACGAAGCAGACATATTTATTTGTCTTGCTAGCATGCTCTGGCTCTGAAATATTGGAAAACATCAGCAGCCAGTATAATGTTAGTCTATCTACATCCCATTCATGTGTTCACCTCCTCCTGCTGCATCCACATCAAAGCAAGCTGAGTCAAAGTAAAGAGGGCTTTCTTAATGAATCAGGTACCATGATGCCTGCTTCCTTCATCTCGACTTTGTGTCTTGCCAACATCATAGTGGTTTTCTAAGCAACAGTAAGCATTATCTGCATGCTACCTCCCTCTAGTGGAGGTAGCAGAAAATAACAAGTATTGTTTTCTGCGGGTGTGAGGCATTAACTCTCTATAAGGCATTAACTGCATTAACTATCAAAGGTAGTTTTTACTCCAAAAAAAAGGCCTCTTTTCTTTCATAATAAAGAAACGCGTAAAGTCTCTGTCATAAGTTTACGTATACCTTTCTATGACATGAATTTCTTAAAGATATAATCATTTATTCATTCAAACCAAGGCTGATCAATACAGAGTGAAGACAATCCAGAATGCTGACTATTTGATCACTCTTATTATCAGAATTGCTGAAGTTTACTTTATCCAGTTGGTTTCATGGAAGAGGTCTGGCATTTGTGCATGCTTTATATATTTTGGTAGGGCTGAGAATAGGATTGTTGACGTTATTCACTCCAAATACAGTCCTGGTTGAACATAGAATAAAATAGAAAAAGAAAAGAAAAACCCTTTATTGTCCCACAATGGGTAAATTCTGGTGTTTACAATAGCAATAAGATTATAGAAGAATATAGCCTATAATCACATAATAGTGAAGAGTTAAAAAAATGCACAAATGAAATACTGTACTGTAATTCAATTCAATTCAATTCAGTTTATTTATATAGCGCCAAATTCACAACACATGTCATCTCAAGGCACTTTACAGTTCAACCAGATCATACAGTCAAATTGATACAAAGTTTTCTATCTAAGGAAAACCGGTTGATTGCATTGACTCATTGACTCAAATACAATCCCCCACACTAAGCATGCTTGTAGCGACAGTGGAGAGGAAAAACTCCCTTTTAACAGGAAGAAACCTCCAGCAGAACCAGGCTCAGTGTGAGCGGCCATCTGCTGAGGCCGACTGGGGTTCAAGGAGACAGAAGCAGAGATACAAAAAGCAGCTGTAAAAGGCGGCCCCGTCCAGGAAACACACAGCCAGGCAGACGAGCTCCAAGGCAGCTCCCATGCCAGAGGACGAAGAGAGCACATCCACTCAGTCACGGTCAGAGAAACAGGACCACACTGGAAAACAGGCCGATCTCCAACATCTATTAACAAGGGTGTTGATAGAAGCAGCACAGCTGATGTTTTTTTTTCCAGGATGACGTACAGAGTTTTAATAATATAAATACTGTACACCTGGAGAATAAATAACCAATATACAGCTATTGACATTTTTACAGTAAAGGATATTTAAAAAATAGTAGCAACCTCACAGATGTGCAAAATGACAGCAGCATGTTATTTAACTGACTAAGGTAGAAACTGTGCAAAATCAGCATGAATGTAACAACCTATTGAGGTTGTTGGGAACAGTGGTGGTTCTAGAGTCTTACAGGTGTTGGGAGGAAGGATCCCTAAATACCGTGGTGCATTTAGAGTGCAGTAGTCTATCACTGAAGGAGCTCTCCAGATCTACAACAACTTCATGCATGGGGTGGGAGACATTATCCAACAGAGATGTTAATTTAGTTAGGATCCTTTTGTTTCCCACCTCCAGTATCTGGTGCTAATCCTTCTTCATTTCAAACGGCTTTTTCTCAGCGGCAGCAGTAAAACAGACATCGAATCACATTACCACCCCATATCTGACAGTAGCTACAAGGCTACTGTCAGATATTGACCGTTTGAAAGCCTCATATGGACTCTTCATTAATTGTGTCTTTAAGGTCAAACAGCTCAATATTTGTCTCATCTGATTAGTAAACCTTTCTCCAGTTAAAGGCTAGATTGTGAACAGGGGCCTCTGCTGATGCAATTTCAAACAAAGTGATTTTTTAAACAGGAATGTCATTTTCACTCACTGCCTACTCAGCTCCAGTCAGCCAATATGTTGATGTCAAACTAGCTTCACCGTGGAGAGTGATATTCTACCATCTTCCATTTTACAGTAATTAATTTCCTTTGATGTGAGAGGGACAGTTTGAGTCAGTTGGTTGAGATGTGGACTTAGCGGGAGGCTCAAAGAGGAAAATTAATGCAAACAAATCCCAAAACTGCTGGTAGAGGGATTACATTCTAGAATGACTCTGGCATTTAATCTGATAAATGTTTGTTTACTTTACTAGATAGTTGAGTGCATAACAGGACAATGAGTCATACTAAATGCCTCATTCAAGAGACTTGAATGATCCCTAAAAGCTTGTTGCTCATTTTATAAAACTTCTCTGTTTAAGGTGCAACTTGCAGAGGTATGTTTACCTGTATAATTCAGAGTTTAAGCACCTATATCTAAATTTTGCTCAACTTTGAGCTAACACCACTAAGACTTTTTGTTTTCAGTCCTTAAAGCTCCACAATGTATATTCATTTTACCCTCTCCAAAAGAACATTTTAAAAGCATGATTTGAGTCAATGTTCATGTCCATGACCATGATGCTTGTGGATGTAATCTTCTAAGTTGTAAAACAAAAACAAAAAAACGTGTCCGTCATATTATTAATGTTAGATAGAAATCCCTGCTGCAACTGTACACTCCAACTGTTGAAAGACATTTTCAAACAGAAAGGTCCACTACTTTGAATGCCGAATGTACCTTTTGCAGGTACTAATTCATTTTGCCCCAGTGTAAAAATGCTTGTCTCCTTCATTTGTATTCATGTGTTAAAATTTAATATTTTCAGGAGATTATAAAAATGGGCAAGGGTTGTCTGTTTCTGCCATCATCAATCTGCATATTGCTATAACAAAATGTCAAACTGTGGAAAAAAAAAAAAATGAGAACCATCTATCTATGCAATAAATGTTCACTTTCTGCAAAAAAATTGTTGAGAATAAAAGTGAACATTTATCTCTCCCGAATACACCTGAACCCCTATTTGTTTATTTCACATTATAGGATTTATTAATAATAATAAGAGAAGCAATACATGGCATTTGTTTACATTATAAATCATTTATTGAAATATAAATCATCTGAATGTACATAACTTCAAATAATGAAACGTATTGAAACATCGTACTTGGTGTGATTATCTTTAACTACAGATAGAGTACCATCACCCACCGACACATCACTCACAGCCAATCACATCCACACCGCTCTATACATCTGAGGCTAGGAGAGAGATTACAGTATTTTAGGCTCTGCCTGCATATTCATCTGCAACACGTAAGAAAAAGCAAAGTGCATCAATGATTGTACTTTATATCACAGTCAGTAAGAGGAGGCAGAAGTACAGCTTCTAAAGCGAGAAGATAGGGGCGGCGCAACACATGTATAAGTAACAGATGTACCACAACACATCAGCTAATAACTGTTTAATAGTAAAGCCTCATGATGGTGAGAGTGAGTCTGCCGAAGGTCAAAATGGTTAGACAGGTAAAAAAACAACATGAAAGATTATAAAAGGTCTTTGGCCGTCATTTACTTGTTCCAACACTCGCTTGGATTTCATCCATTTTATTGTAAAGCTCCCAGAAATGCAGTTGCATGGCCTGCAACTGATACTTTATCCCATCTCATTAAAATAACGAAGGTTATATAGTTTTTTTTGTAGCCATGTTCTAACAAGATATGGGCTGGTTATCCATATCAAGATTAAATTTCCCCAATCGTTAAAATTCCCACAACTTAAAGCCCACAGTGCTCGTGTTGAAAAGTTTTCTCAGTTGTTTGGAGAATTTACTAACACAGCACTGCCTCTATCCAACCAATACTGCATAATACAGGCCGACAAGCTAAAGGAAGAAAAATGCACTTTCCTCGGACTTACAAAAAAAAAAGGATTTGTAAGGTAATGTGTCTGTTTAGAAATATTCCAAGCTGTGGGTATTATTTAAATTAAATCCAAATACCTTTCTGTCAGACATTTTGCAATAAAGAGCATAAAACTACTACAAAATTAGGCATGATATTTTTTGGAGGGCATATGTCTACTTATCAAAACAACATTAAATAAATTTTGCTTTTCTGTTTTAAACATATTCCATTAGGTCATGCTATCTATTTCAGCTTGAAATAAATACCCCGAGTTAACCAGCCCATATCTTGTTCTAACCTATTTATATTTCATTTTGACATTAATTTGTTTTTTTATGGACCATCACTATAACACGTGTTTCTAGAAAGCAGTAACTTTATAGGACGCATAGAAGACGCTATAGAAGCTTATTTTATACTCACATACAATACTAGACAACTAGTAATTCCCTCATATAAAACAACTCTGGAGCTATTTACATTACAATCACACTTCATTTAAAAAATGCCCACATGTCAAATATGAGCTAGATCTTTACCTGGGATCTTTTTTTGTTTTTGGGGCCAAAGTGGACAGGCAATACAAAGACTAATGCAACTAAGAAGCTCTTCTCACGCCCATTCAGACAGATATGATTGGTTACTAACTGCTTGTTTCACAATAATACATGTTCTTACACCAGTGAGGTAAAAAAATAAATTTGAACTACTGCATGTACTTAGCTATTTAAAACATTATGTAGTCACAGAGAAAAAGATGCACTCAGTCCAAATGTTGTGCTTAAACTCAAGGTTTTGCTACTGATTGTGCCAGCATCAGGTGCTTCAACTGTAAAAGGTCTTACTTCCTCATAATACAGTTCCTGGTAATGGAATCGTATAGCAATAATAGTGCATTTGTAGTGGTATATTGTAAGAGTTGTGAAGTTCTTGATTTGTTCCTTCTTGCTTATACTGTAGTTAAAAAATGCCCAACACAATAAAGCTTTATAAAATGAAGATGTTTTTTTTTTAAACTGTTTGATCTGGATGGGTCAAACACAAACGTTAGCCTCCTCCCTTCTTTCAGTCCCATTTTCATTATTGCTCGTCCACATCTCCAGCCCAAAAAGGGTCTTTGTCCGCGGAGAAGTGATGGGCGTACCTTACGTCACCTGTGACTCACAGAGACTGGCAAGTGGTTTTGTTCTGTCCTTGTAGAAGGAGTGGCATGGCTAGAGTTTTTGGCTGATTTACAGGTCTCGCTCTGCTGTCCCATGTCCTTGCAGCTCTACCCATTGCCACCCTTTGGTTCGGCAGCTGTCACAGAAAGCTGTCCTCCACCAGATCGTTACAGTCCAGACACATCTCGTCCAGCAGAGTGATGTCCTCCAGGCTCTCACCCTCACGCTTAGCATAAGTGGAGCTACTTGAGCCAGTCTCAATTGCGCTCTCCTCAGATGTTTGAGAGCTAAACCAGGAAAGGACAACACATGATTTGTAGCTTTTCAATATTTTGTCACATAACTTCCATAAAAAATCAGTATATTTTAAAAACTTTTATACTATGCATACCTGTGTCTGTTCCTTTTTCCATACTCGTCATCGGATATAGGGTCCAGATCGGGGAGGGGAATAATGTAGCCACTGTCTGAGCTCAGTCGCTGTTCGTCGAAGCCGCTTTCCCTGTCCTTTAGCTTGCCCTGGTTCTTGTACGGTATGTCAACGTAGCCTGAGTCAGTCTCCATGCATACTCTGGTGACAGCAGGGTGGTCACTCTTCAGGAACTCAAGGTTCACTTTCTCGTAATGCTGGATAGAAAAGAAGTAAACGCCTTATGTTGGCAAAACTAAAAAAATATATATCACATCTCAAACGGTGCAGAGTAGAGATGTACCGGTACACATACAGGATGTAGGGATGTACACATATGATTAGGAAAATAAGGTTCTAAGAAGGAGAGAGGTGTGTGAGGATTTTTATTTATTTCATCATCTTTTCAGTTGGTGTGACTTAAACTGGAAATCATCCAAACATCCTAGCCAAGGCGAACATGCTAAAACCAGTTGCTCCTGAACTGCTTGCCATTAAAAGAGGGAGTAGGACAGGGGCAAAGCTGTTCTGACGCACAATATGTGGTGTGGAAGTTTAATTAAGGCTGGGTGGTGGAGGCGAGAACCAAGGCTGTGTCATTACCCAGACTGAGGCCAGCCACTATGACCATCCAGCTGCAGCATTAAGGCTCTAATCACTTTTACACAAATGGAGGGAGAGAGCCTCCAGAAACACTCCCATTGCTCTCACAGAGGATGTGGAAGGGCTTATAACTACCCTGCTACTTTATTAGTGGATATAAAGTATAAAAAGGATTTTAACCTGTACTTTGCTCTACAAACTGGTAGTAACAAGGCCAGTAAATGACCCAAAAAAATGATAGAAGAGCAGAACTTATAGGTAAATAATGAGGAGGTAAAATTTACAAGCAGGTGTTACAATTACTGAGAGTCCGGAGATAGGAGAGGTCATGAGGAACACTCACTCTCTTGTAGCTGGAGGGCAGCAAAGACGCCATATTCTCACTCAGACCCATGAAGGAAGGCCTTTTCTCTGGCTCGCTGTTCCAGCACTTCATCATCATCTCATACCTGAAAAGAACACAACGTTACTGGAAAAGGCAGCACAGCTAAGCCTTGTCATTTTTCAGTGATGCATGTCAGTTGCTGCACATGGGAGCTTAGAAATAACATTATTTTACAAGATGAGAAGGAGGTTTTGATAAACTGGCATTCCTATGAATGGTTACTTACACATCTTGAGGTGCATGTTCAGGCTTTGACATTCGGTATCCGCTCTTGATCTTGTTGTAGAAACTGGAGTCTACCACCATCCCAGGGTACGGTGTGCCACCTTGTAGAAAGACATGGTTATTTACGAGTGTGAACAGCTCTTCTTCTCAAGTATCTTTAAAAGGTTAAACTTTTGCCGGTGTTCACTTATTTTTTATTGCAGGAAAATAGATTTATTTAAAAAACTATCTGGGTATTTCAACAGGAGTTTTGCAGATTTTTTCCCATGCTTACAAACCTAACCTAACCTATCTAGCTGAAAAAATAGACTTTAGTCCACATCAAGTTGTTGTTGTCCATGTTTAGGTTAACTTATTTGTTTGGGCTCTGACTGGTGAACATTATTTTGTTTGACAGCTTTTATTATTTATTACCTTAATGTAAATCTGTTTTAATTGACTAGTATGTTTTCCTGTTCTTTTCTATTTTGACAAGTAGCTAAAAGAAACTTTTATGTCATATCTTATTTATACCTTGGAAAAACAAATGAGCGACAGGGTAGGTTGCATTACAGTAATCTTTCTTTTCTTACTAGTACACTGTCACATAAAAAGGTAAAAAGTCATTATAATGTTTGCTGCTAACATATTATTATTCTCTATATCATTTCATTAGTATGTAAGAAAAGTTCAAAAGGTTACAGTATTCAATAGAGTTCAGAGAGGAAGTTCATTGGTGGGTAACCATCTTCCATCTCCATCAATTCAGAATACTCTCCATCTTCTTTGCAAATTAGCACCTAATGTAAACATAGGGATAGTTTTATGCCGTTACAGTTCATCCCAAACTATCACACAACAAAGGCAGTGTTTGAATATTGAATATAGAAGTGCATGTTGATGCAAATCCAATACACACCAATGGGTGCACTTTGCCCCATACAGTGGTCGAAGTTATGCCCAATGTATCTAATTTCCATACTAGATACCTGAATCTCTTTTTATAAATTAAAAACACCAATTTAATTTTTAATAAACCCAAGTAAATTTTATATGTTTTTTATTTGATATCTTCAGCCTTTAAAACTACTAAGCAGAATTTGTACATAAAGAACAACAGTAAAGTCATTTACTATAGTTTTCATTCTTTTTTTATCAATTCAGGGCATTCCTTTAAAGAGACAGCAAAACCTGGTTTATTTTGTGATTTACAAGCTATTGTGGCAGAAAGTTAGACTAATATTGTTGCTTTAAGGAATTATTTAACAAACACAGTTTGATTTGAGAAATATATTTGCAGTGATATTCAGAAGGAGCCAAACGGTAGCACCTTTATATTAAAACACTTGTCATCTATAGTTAACTTTTATAAGAAAAATTACTTGAAAAACTTACCAAGGGTGAAGATCTCCCAGAGGAGTATGCCGTATGACCAAACATCACTAAGACTGGTGTATAAGTTGTCAAAAATACTTTCTGGTGCCATCCACTTCACTGGCAAAAAGGTCTGCCACAAAAGAGAAGGGATGTTTTTGTTAAAAGATGGGTATCATTAAAGTACTGCATGACTTACTGTAGTGAATATAAACAGATACTCACGCTTCCTTTAGAGACATAGTTGTTGTCATGCATGATGTCTCTGGCCAGCCCAAAGTCACAGATCTTGACAATTTTGCCCTGAGAGAGAAGGACGTTCCTGGCTGCGAGATCCCGATGCACACACTGTCAAAAAGGAGGTGTTGTTGTCATCTGTTTGCTGCAGCACATCTTGCTCCCACAACCACAGGCTACTTCTGTGTTTCATTTTCAGCCAGTTTCATTTTTAATACTGTTTCATTTTCCTTTATAAAGTTTAAACTTTATGCAAGCAGAGCAGTTGGAAAGAAGGCCATGACCGCTGGGATATTTAGGGATAATAACTATGAAGTTGGACGGGTAGCTTCTGGCTGCAACTTGCCTCGGCTTGGTAATTCTAGCTCTTACTTTGCTGCTGCTATATTGGTTGTCTGGCCTCTCTCCTGAGTGGGTTCTACAACCTTTATGGAGCTGCTTATCATACAACCACTGCTTTCCTAAGTTCCCACCCGCTTTATTTGGCAGTCATCTTATAGAGCAAAAACAACCTGCGATTATAGCCTGTGGAATGAGAAGAATCTCATGATTGGGAGAATATTTGACTTCTTCAAGCTTACATTTTTGGAAGCAAGAAACTCCATTCCTTTGGCCACCTGGTAGGTAAAACTAAGCAGGTCGGTGGTGGTGAGACCTTCACTCGTGTCATCCGACAGCAGGTTGTCCATCTCAGATTCTGGTTTGGAAAATACACAGTGAGTGCTCATGAGTAAATGTTCACTACGTGTTGTAAATATAGCACACTTTTCTAAGACCTGGCTTTTAATGGCATTCTCAAACTGGCCATTATTATGTGAGTGCTACAATTATCTTCTCCATGTAATTACAGGCCACTTCCAGGCCTAAATTCTGACAAGGGTGTACCCCTTTAACCAGCAATGACTCAAAGGCAAGACCAAGGCCAATAACTCTGAGGACAGAGGGAGACAGAAGAACTGCAGTGCGTACCGCCAGAGCCTTTCTGTGATGGAGGGTGGTCGTAGTTCGGACCATGGATGTCTGTGTACTTGGAGTTTGTGCTCATCTCCAGCATTGGTACATACTGAGTGTTGTCTGCCTGTTTCATATCCATGTAGTCTCCTCTGCTCTCAAAGGACAGAATCACATAACTGAAAGCAAAAACAAAAGAGGAAGGTGTGTTAGAGATGGTAGGTTTGAATAATATTAAGTAATATATTAACAATTGTCTTACAGAAATATTGATACATTTTGTTACATTACAGCTGCAAACCTAATTTATTTTACTTGAAAATGACTCCAGAACATTTGCCAGGAAGAATTTGAGCAATTTGGTATGCACATATATTGAGCATAAATGGATAATTGGTATAACCTTTTAACTACATTTATGTACGTCTATTATTGGAATGTCATTAGCAGTTCTTGTCAATTAAAGATGGAAATGTACGGTAATTGGTCTTTGCAAAATAGCTCATGCACAGTGATGTTAGATGCAGGATATCTCAGGTTTCAGTCTTGCAAGATATGTTTTGTTTAATTTTCCTGTGGACTTTGACTGGACTTTTGTGACAAATCAAATAGGTTTAATCTAAATCCAAAGACTGTGCCAAATTCTTTAGGATTTGGTTTGTTGTCCTGCTGGAAGGTGAATCTTCACCTCAGTATTCAATTGTTCTGCCGCTTCTTACAGGTTTTCTTCTATGATTTAGCAACCTCCATCTTCCCGACTTTCACAGCCTTTTCTCAAGCATTATAATAGCAAAATTAACTCATTACTTTGATTAATGGGGTTTTCAAGGGTATTGCTAGTTTTTTTTTCTTCCACCAAATACTGTTCTTGCATATCCTCAATGAGTTCTGCTTTATCTGTTTTATGTGGCTTTTGGTAAAGTGAAAACATGAGTTCTTAAGCCTTTACACACCCCTAGAAAGCCATAATTTTCAATCACTCAACACATATTATCATGACAGAAACTCTCACATGAGCTATGGGTGTTTGCTGTTCCCCCACACTTACCATGAGCCTTTTTGGGGATGATTTTCTGCTAAATGTTCTCCTTGCCTGACTTGTTAGTTTAGGTGGAAAATGTCCCACAAAATTTCCATATTATTTTGCCTAATGCTGTTTTAGATCAGTCAAGACTTTTTTTCTGTTATTTGAATACATTTTCTCTTGCAGACCTTGGAGGCTCAGTAGAACAAGTAGCCTTATGATGAGATTAAAAATGCGTAAGCGGATTCTTTTACTAATCGGTTGTCTATCTAACGCAACTGGTTTCACTGGATCTTATTTACAGATGTCATTGTAAAGGATGCAGGATCTATGTAACTTAAAAAGGACCTTTTTATATGTAAAAAGCTTTTTAAAAAAATCTTTGATTTATCTTCCTCATCACAATCATTTATTACTTTGTTTTTGTCTGTCATATGAAATCTGCAAAAAAATATTTAAATCAAAGGTTTCAAAGTGACAAAATGTGGTAAGGTCAAAGGGTATGAATATTTTTCCAATGTAATCAATCTGATAATAAGTATACATTAGTTTTTGTAATCACTTGTTCTCCCGTTTCTAGGGCTGAGGTTAGAGGGCGATGTGGTTGAGGCCAACATGGTAGCCAAGATTAAATCATGTTATGGTGTTTCGAGGCGTGGTCACTGTGAGTCATCCATCAGCAGATGCTCCTCAAAAAGAAGACGAGGCTGATGTTTCACTGAATGCTAGGGAGGATACAATTAACAGGTAGCTCAGTAGAAACAACATTAGGCTGAAAGCTGAGATCCCTTCGAGCTTTGATCTGATTAGGAGAAGATGCCAGGCAATATCCGTTACCACTGAGAAAATGGTGATTATGTTACTGTTTAGGAAATGTTTCCATTAAATACAAAAATGTAAATGTGGTTGGAATTAAACATGGTTATCTGTCAGAACAAAACATGTAGAGCTTTTTGGCCATTCGCTTTGGATGCCATACCTCCTGCTGTTCTCATCTGCAGGATTGATCCCAAAGATATCCAGCTCCTTCTTGTTTTTCTCAGGACTCAAGCTGAGGAAGCTCTCCCTGTTCTTGTGTAGATAGTTGACCAGGTCACCATGGAAGCAGTACTCAGTGATAATGTAGATAGGGCCTGGGAAACAACACAGAAGATAAAGGCGTGCATCGGCGTCAGTCTGCAGGCTAATCTTATCAGAGGCTCATAAAGGCTAAAAGCACAGCCAGGAGAGCAAGCTTCTACTTTCCCATAAAAAGCCAATTAAAATAGCAGGCCCACCAAGAGCTGTCAATTTACTGTGGCTGTTAGAGCTGTAAATGTCTTCTATGGCCAAATATGGGTTTGTGTTTGTGTGCACATGCACGTGATTAAGGGAAAAACTGTGCAAAGTGATGACTGGTTTATGTAAATGAAACAACAATGGCTGTACTACACTATTATTATTGAGCACGTCTATGGCTATGAGTGAGCATGTTTATTAAGAACTTCTGTTTTTGTGTGTGCTTTTATCACCTGACTTGGTGCATGCTCCCAAAAGGTTTACAATGTTGAGATGGGGTCCAAGGTGAGTCATGATCTTCAGTTCAGACATCAGAGCCTGCTTTTCACTGGAGCGAGCTGTGGCTGAAAGAAGGCACAGGACCATAACTATCACAAAACAGTTAGAGCACAGAGGATTCATCAAAGCATGCATCAGCCATCTCTTATCCTCCAGTTAATTTTCTTACTATTTATCTTTGATTGTTTGGTTGGTTGTTTGTTTAAGAAAAGCTTGGGTTTTTTTACGCTTAAAAGAAATTACAGACATAACAGACTTAATCTGCAAGACTAACAGAAAACTGTCATGTGGTAAACTAGGAAACTTTAAATTTTTAATTGTGTAAAATGTATTTTTAAGACAACTTCAGATTAACAAAGAAGTCAAACCCAAAAAATATATGTCATAATAGATCTGAATATATGCACAATATTCCCTTTTCCTTTTAAATTTGTACAATGATACGAAAAAAAGAACTGTAAACATGGTAACCAAATTGAGAGTTTGCCACCATTAAAGAACATAATTCATCAAGTTAGAAAACACAAAGTATAGACAATACTATTAGTTGGGTATTTTACAATCATACTCCGTCGACAAAGCTAATTAAGAAAAGCCAAGTAGGCAATTTGTAGTTCATCTAAGTATTTTAAAAAATTGCTTTTAGGACTGTTTAATGTCTCATCAGTGATGCTAAATCTTACTTTGTTAATGTGGTTCACCTTAGAGTCTTAAAACCAGAAGCAGCTGAAGATTCCAGACTAATCCTGTTGCCAGAGCATGCTGGCAGTAACCAGACAGTGGCTACCAGTGGCATTCCTCATGTCTTAAATAAAAGTTTGTTAAACTTACGTTTCAGCATTTTCACTGCCACCTTCATTACAGGCTGAGAACAGCTGAGTCCATAGGCGGTGCCTTCAACCACCTTTCCAAAGGCTCCAGAGCCCAGGATCCGACCTGAGAATGACAGGAGGATGTACAGTATGGATTAGTTATTCAGGGTGAAAGGGACATAGACAATCTGCTTTATCATCATTGGAGTGGTTGAATCTCCCTTTCATAGATGAAAGGGAGATTCAATTAAATCCAAGCCATCAGTAACCAACCAGTCCTAGCTTACTTATCACAGCCTCAATTCAAAGCCTGAGTAAGATTCAGAAGTTGCAACATCTCCAGAGGAAACCATATGTTTCTAAAACATTAAACTCACCAAGCACAAGTCTATCTCGGGGAAATTCCCATCTGGAGTCGTAGGGAAGCTGCATGGGATCTACATAGATGTACTCATGGCCGTCCGGACTCACAGATTCTATGACCCTCCAGCGGATCTCATACCGTGGTTTCTAGATGGCAGAGAACACATGAATTCATCATTGTCTGTTAAAGTAAAACATAATATGAACATCTTTGAACAGGCAGAGCAGCAAAACCAGATGCACAATATTTAAATCTCATGTTAACATATTTTGGTTTTGAACTGTAACCGCATATGGCTGAAAAATGGAAAATGAGCGACAGAATGGATAAACATGCGAGAAGTGAAGGTGTGCCAAATGATTCCAACAATACCTGCTTCCAGATAACAACCAAGACAATGAGTGAGATGATGACAATGACCAGTAGAACCAGCACAGCGGCAGCTACCGTCAGCTCAGGGTGAGGGCCTGTTTGTAGGAAAGCCAGTGATTGCATTTTTTACATTCTGAACACTTTTCATCACATGTATGATTGAAAGTAAACACAGCTTATGTGTTGCAATGAAACATTCCCTTTAAATGGGGTTTAAAACTACCGTACATGGGAATCTGGACAACCACCCCCTCAAAAAGGTATGCTGGTAAGGAGCGGGGAGGAGTCAAGAGACTTGCATTATTAGGGAATGATTATAAGGGTATAAAACTCATGCTGTGGTGTATTATTTTTTTATCCTATGGTTTATGATCCCGTAATTATCTGTCAAAATATTTATCAACCCTTTCCTTGTAGAAAATGGGTTCACATTTACCGTAAAAGTTACGTTTTTAATTTAAAAAACTAATTACTGTTTTGCTTTACAAATATATAAAAGGGAATAATCCATGAACTTATAATTAGTGTTATTTTTAGAGGGAAACATTGTATTTACATTTCATTAAGAAGTCAAAAGTAAACAAACACTTTTGGATTGGCTCTGCATTTCAAAACATTGCTCAACTTGCTAGTGATTCTAGTGAAGGCTAATAAGAGCCATATTGTCTGATCCATTTTGCAGAGACAAGTTGCAGACCTCTGCTGTAGACCAATAGCAGCTGCCTAAGCACAAATTCATTGTCTTCTTCAGTAGAACGGCCATTTCAATGGCAAAAAAAGAACATCTAAAACCATTTGTATGCAGCCACTGAGTGGAGTTCTTACCAGTGGACACCAGTTTGATCTCCCTGCTATCTACACCCAGTTCATTCTTGGTAAAGCATCGGACTGACAGAGTGCTTTCCAGATGACCAAACATCACTTGGGCCTCCAGATTGCTCTTTTCATCCAGGTGCGACTCCATCGTGATCTCTGTGGAGTTGGTGGGTAGAGGCGCCCAAGAAGACGTGTCATTGGCACATCTTGAGGGAAATAAAGAAATAATTATTAGGTTACATTGGGTATACACGCATGCATTCAAAAAGGAAACAAATTGCAATTCTCTTACTGTTTAATGTTCTTGCATATGAACCACTCTACAACGGGAGTGGGTTGCCCCCTGGTAATGCACACTGCTGATTGTCCTGTGGCTGAACCATGGTGGAGGTCCATAAGATCCACAATGACTGCTGGCACTGTAAAATTATGAGCAAAACAGGGTTTGGGCATATCAGTGTGTATGAAAAGATGTAATCTGATTGACCCTAACAGTGGCTAATGTTGGATCATTAAGATCCAATTTATTGTGTCAGAGGGCATCTTCCTCCTGACCTTTAACCACCAGGTGTAAGCTGACTTCATGGCTTTGGTTTCCATTCTCCACTCGCAGGGTGTAGTTCCCACTGTCCTCCTCCCTCACCCGGATCAGGGTGAGAACGCTTCTGTAGCTGTGCAAATCAACAGAAACGTCTCTCACCACAGCAGCTCAAAACAGTATAAGACATTTTTGCATAACGCTTTGTTTACTTTTAAATTAGTATTGGCAAAGACTAACCTTGTCTCACTTGTCTTCTGCAGATTAGTGGAGAACTCAGCGGTCACATCATTGAGTGGAATGCCATCCTTGAACCAAGTAACATGGGCATCGGGAAAGGAGGATATTGTAGCGCTTAACTCCCGGACCTCATCCAGTCTTGCAGATTCGTGGTGCTGAAAGTCCGGGTTGATCGTTAAAAACTCACCGGCTGTTGAAAAAGAGGTGGTCAGCAATGCTAAATACCAATTCAGAAAAAGCCTTGACGGAATAACAAATAAAAAATATTAACCCGAAGTAGGCAAGCTAAATACTCATACCAAAAACTTGAATAGCTATTTCCTTTGTCTGGGTCTCTCTAGACGCCACAGTAGTAATGGAACATGAGTAGTTGCCGCTGTCTTTGGTTGAGGCATGTGGGATCGTCAGGGTGTACAGAATCTCTCTATCTTTCCTGCTTTCTCGTACAGTTTTTGTACCACGATTAGCCTGTAACACAAAAACAATTATATAACCTTTAGATATCTCCTACATAACATGAAACATGTAACATATTTGGAGAATGGACTGGGATTTATATATTTATGTATTAGCTCACCAGTTTGCCAGGGTATTTCCAGTTATCTTCGAGTAGGTAAGGTCCTTGAGCCAGACAGTTGACAGTTATTGTTTCTCCAACGAGCAGAGCAGTTCTTTCGGCATAGAGCTTAACTTGCAACATATCTGAAACAGGGCATTTGATACAGCTGAATTTTTTTGTGTGATATCAGAAAGCCACATGGAACATTTTAAAAACAATAAATGTAACTTACAAGCTCAAAAACCCTAAGACACGCACCTATTGAATCCTGGACGATGTACTCTTCACTGGTGTGCACCTCTCCATTTATTATGGCCTTGCATACATAAGTTCCTGCAGAAAATGTTCCTAAAGCGCCCTGTTTACTATCATACATACAAGGCACAGGTTGGTTGGTGTCAACATTGACCAGTGTCACTATGGCACCGGGATCAGACACCCTACATGGAATCTCAACATCACTTCGCTCAGGCGGCAGATGGTATATGTATGCTGGCAGGAAGGGAGAGTCTGGATCTGTGTTGGGATAAAATGAGTCTTTCAAACAAGAGAAAAAAGCTAATCTACCCCAAAAGACGCAAAGAGATCCAAGATTCATACCTGGTACATAGATGTAAATGCTGCTTGCCTCGGCTTCCTCTGTGATGTTGCCACTATATTGGCAAGTGTAATAACCAGTGTGCATTAATGTTGCTATGTCCACAGTTATGGTGGAGACAAAAACGCCGCGGTCCACCTGTGATTGTTCCTCCCTATGGAATGGTGTGTCCCATACAAGTTTTGTGCCTCCACGACATGTTAAAGTGAAAGACGAGTGGAGGGGAACAACCATTTCTTCCAGGTCTGGTTGCAGAAGGGGGGCGGAGGAGGGTCTGATATCAAGTCTGGTAGCTGGAAAAGGACACGTATTGAGAATTCAGTCATAAATAAGCAATCGTAAACCACGCATTAATCCAGCTAATATTTATTTTTCAATCTGCCTATTTTACCTGTCATTTTGAGAATAAATGAGAAGTGAGCAGTTTGAGTGCCACTTATGGCTGTTATTGTGTAATTTCCATTATCCTTCTCCATAGGTACTCGGAATGTTATAGTGCTCTGATACCTATGTGAGAAACATTTGAGCTGATGAAATTATGTTGAACGAAATTATACAATATTTATATTTTAATCAGATGAGAATGTATATTCATCCATAGTGCCATACTAAATATTCATTGACCTTGACCTTTTTCACATTTTATTTCATTAAAACCACAAATCCCATCTTTTGTCAATTTTTTTATCAATATAGTACTTTCTTGTAAGAGAAAGAACACCTAATTTTAATTTCATTTTTTTTAACTAGATAAATTTGTATTGAGTGCCCCTGTCCCATTCAACCTACTCCTCAGTTATGATCAACCTGGTTTCTTGTATATAGCCCCAGTGAAATATGTAGAAGTTTGTGGTTGTTTTGGAAGAAATTGTGAAAATATTTCAAGGAATATTGATCATTCTTTGTATTTCAGCTTTGTAGCTTCTTGCTCGTGCACATTTTATTAAAGAAAAACAAACTATGCACTCACCGATTCCCCTCAATGCGACTCATTTTTGTGAAAATGTAAAAGTCCTCTGTTAGTGCTTGGTCATCTTTCATCCATGAAACTTTAGGAGTTGGGTATGCATTAATGTAGATTGTGAACTGTGTCTCTTCAAAAATTGTGACAAACTCTGTCTGCAGAATCCCTCTAGGATCCAGGGTTAAAAAGGAGTTATCCTCTGTGACAGCAAAGCAAAAAAAGTTGCAAATAATCATGATTATTGATTCTAAAAATGTCTAACAATACAGAGTCAGTATGGAAAAAGGCTCAGAGGAGAAAATGAGACTGAGTGATTGAGAGGGCTGAGGTGAAATAAAGGCCTGACACACATCTGTTGAAACCATCCCATAAAACACGCTGCATGATGTTAAAAACAGAGCTCAAGCTTTCTTGTTGCATTGAAGAAAATCTCTTTCACACATAACTAAACCCACAATGTGCACATATGTGAATACGCTAATTCACCTGAATGATGATGAGGATATCAAACATTAGGGATTGTAAATCACCACATGGAGCACAGAGTATTATACTCTCGTTGGAAGCTTATTCAAAATATTTAGAGAATGCTTCGGAGAGGGAGACTTACCGAACACAGTTACAGCCACTCTGCCCGCTTTGGCTTTTCCACTGGCCTCATTCCTGACCGAGCACTCATAGCTGCCGCCGTCCTTAACCGTGGCTTGTGGGATACTCAAAGTGTGGATGACCTTGTCCGTAAGAGTTAACTCTGTCCGGAATGCATTTACAGCCTAAAGATAAAAATATATGCAAAGCAACTCTCAAGTGACATGGTAATCACAAGAAAAAAGCATTTGGTTTAAACATATATTTGGTTGTTTAAGCTTGGTGTGTTTTGTCCATCACACAGTTACTGTACCAGGCTAATGACTAAAACATTTGTAAGGGCAGGAGATAAATCAGGATTGTTGACCCTTTTAAAGCTTGTAATTGCACCTGAGGACAGAGCCAGGAGTCAGGCCTTGTACATTTCTACCTCAATTTTTCTGGAAAATTGCTTAAAAGAAGCGAAGAATTAGCAATGTGCCTCAAAGTTTTACGAATCTGGGCAGCACTAACATAAATGAAAATACTGGCTTCAAAGGTGTACCCTAAACACAGTAATATTTTGACACATTACAAATGCAAGGATGCAGAGCTTATTTTAAGAGAATCAACAGCATCGGGAAGACTAAGAATTACAACAGATAGGTCAGGAATGTTCCTTTATTCACCTGTGAGCCTCTGTACCAAATACATTTGGATTTAAAGTACACTAAAGTTTGCAGCTTTAATATTACTAAATGGAAAAGGTTAACTGGATATGAACACTTTTTTGTGTGAGTGTGCAATGCTCTAAAAAACCTTGAAATAAACCTGGTGTTTATCTGAATGATATGTGGAGACAGCATCCGTCCAACAGGTCTCATGGTCTGCAGGTTCAAAGGATTAACTATTGCCTTATTTACCGTCCTTTGAGCGGCTTCCTTTCCTTAAGCCATAAGTCATGAACCTTTAACCTTCCTGTCAGACTCTTTGGCATTGGGTTAACTGCCACAGTGGGTTTTTCTTAAATGTCCCAATCAAGAAAAGATTATCTAACAAATATGCAACCGTGAAGAGACAAGCAAGATTTCTATGAAAACATAAAGGTATGTGTCCTAAATGTATTAATGATTACAGTATATATCAAGTGGAATGGAAACAAAACTAGAGACTAAGATTAATATGAATTTTGAATAAACAGGAATACAGAACAAAGATAGAAAGCAACTATTTCTTACCTGTGTTTTGAGATAGATCCACTGCTGATGAAAGGATGGGCCCAAGGGTATGATGCAGGAGATGTTCAAGGGCTGCCCAACTCTTATCGTCTCTTCACTAGCACTGACCTTTATTTCAAAGTCATTCGCCTCACTGGGTTCTGCAGGAAGGACCACCACAGAGAGGCTATCAACACCCGGCATCTCACATGAACCAAGATGTCGACAGCTTGATTACTGTGACCAAATTTATTATATTGTAATGGCTGTTTTCATTCTCAGACACGCAATGCAGAAGAACAAAGCATTCTAAGCTCATTTTAGTGGCGTAATACAATGCACACATCACATTGTGGTTATTGCCAAAAAACATCTGAAGTATTCTTTCTGCTCTTGTTTTGTTTTGCCATGATTCTCCATGTTTTCTTTATTTTTGCCAGATTTTTCGAAACCCCACTCTGTGTTCTCACATCTGGCTCAGATTCGAAATACATGTGAATTTCCTTAACGGAGAGATTTTATTAAAACATGAAAAAAAATTATAAAAACAAAACTTAGCAGAATTAAAATAAACTCTGATAAGTTACACTTGTAATATCTTGTAAATTTATTAATGTGCACATCAAGGATTGCTCTTGGTTGAACAAAATGGCAAAAATAAATAGAAAATGACAATGGCATGGTATTTATTGTTAAAAATATCTTGTCTAAGTAAGAATTAATAATATCACAGAAAAGTCTGGCTAGAAGCTTTGAATTTGTAGGAAATACTTTGACAGACTGTGTCTGATTTGGTTCTGACTTACTCTTTTCTCTTACGGTGTAGATGGCACTTGTGAAAGTCCGGCCATCTAATGTGGCTTCACACTGATACTTGCCAGGAGATACACCTATAAACCCCATTCTGGGGTCATAAAATCCCGGGATTTTCTCTTTACTGGGGATTTTTATCAGTTCAACATGATATGTCAGCTGTGATGTACGGCACGCAACGAGACCATCATCCCCCTCATCAACCCAGTCTTCTGGTCCATCTGGGACAAACAGGATGGAAGGATCTAGAAATGAGCAGAGAGATTTTGTTTTTGTTGGGTTTTTTTTGTGCAAATTTTCACACTGTTTAATCTTTAACTTAATTGTTTGATTATTTTCGCATGTTTCACTCTATAGACATAGCCTAAGATAACAAATTAATTGGAATAGGACTTGTTTGTTAGGCTGGTGTCATCCGTCCTTTAATATAAATTTGTTTCTTATTGCCTGATCACTTTTAAATCCCGCAACTATACAACTAATTCTAAAGCAGCCCTATAATTCCTATATTCTAGCGTATTTGGTATTTTTAAGTATTTGGTCTTATTTACTTTCTTCTCTCTTTTTTCATATAAGCATGTCACCTGTACTAGGCTGTCACAATGTTTCCAATCCTTGTTGTAATTTCTCTTTCTTAAATTTTACGGGAATATGTTAATTCTATTGCTATGTACAACAGTCATGGTAAGTGGTGTTAATCCAAAGACCTTTTGTATTTAGCCATTTTTTTTACCTTTGACATATATATAGATATCCGTCTGTTCGCTCCCATATTTGCATTCATAATAGCCAGTGTGATTTACAGTAGCGTTGTAAATTAGGAGAGTTGAGGTGAAACCGTCAGAAGTAATTATGGCATCTTTCAGAACTGGTGCATCCCAAACTATTTCCGAGTCAGCCGAGCAGCTGACGTTGATGAGGGAATTAGGCTCCAGCTCACGGGTTGGTTCTTCCATCCCCATGGATGAGAACAGATCAGCCATCGCTAAGAGACAATTCAATGAATGTTAACTTATTGTCCAAAACTATGTAGAGGACTACTCTATGTCTAATATAAAAGTTTACCTGAGACCATTCCCACACAGATAACACCACACACCAGGTATATCTTCATCCCATCCATGGCTATGGATGTTCACCCCTGTGAAGAAAAGAAAAGTAACTATTTCTATCCAGTGAATAAAGAGTATTGAATCTTGATCTTGGTACCTTTAACTGTACATCAATACTAGATTCTTAACAACTAAATGAATAAATAAGGTATATGAACTTTTGATATATGTAGATAGGCTATATCTGTGTTTCCTAAACATCTCTGGTTTGACAGACAAGCGAAAAGGAGACAATTTATTCAGTCGTATAAAGACCCTAGACTTAGATATTCCATATCCAAACCCTGGAACACCAACAGCTTTATCCATAGGCCTACAATATGGTCATCCGGTAAGAATTTTATTTCAGATTTATCTGTTTTGTAAAACATAATTGAAACATCAGATCCGTAAAGATTAGGGCAGGATTTGGTTGCAGTGGTTCAGCTCTCCATCATTACTTTGGCCACTCCAATTGTGAAAGAAAATATTTATGATTTTCCCAGTTTATTATTCTCCCACACTGTTTACATTTGATCACTACTGCACTTCATAGAATGGAAATGTTCTGAAATCTGCACAAAGTGAAATCTCGTTTTGTATACACACTGTGTATACAAAATGACAAAAGTTGTCTAAGTCTAAAGACAGTTACAGAAACAAAATAGCTTTGTTTAGTGTATTAAGTTAGCAGAATTAGAGCAAAACTAACCATAAAAAGTAAAGAGTAAAGTAAAGCAAAGAGAATATTTTTACATATTTTTTGTCCAGATGATAGAAATATTGAGAATTTATTCAGTGAAGCTAATCTGATAATTAATTGCCGCTTGTTTTGTTTTTTGTTTTTATCATGTTTCCATCAACATTTTAAGAGTCCCCGGTTTGTGAGATTGGAGTTTAGAACGTAGCGCTTCCTTCCCGCAACCGGTAGAGGGCAACACAGTCCACCTTTTAGAGAAGATGCTAATTTAACCAGATCTATTATCGTTTCCCTCCTTCATTTCAGAAGTTGCACTTTTTCTCAATTGACTTAACACAGAAATGCTGACATTTATATTCTTAAAGAGACTCAAACATAAATCTGGACATTTTTTTCTTCTTCTTTTTTAAAGGTGCCTAATTTAGCCTGTGTTGAAACAATTATTTTTACATCTGGATGTTTCTGGACCGATGTCGGCATGGCGGGGAAGCTTTTAAACAACAAATATGTTTTCATTAAAACTTAATTTCAGCTCTCCACTATTACTATGGCCACTTCGATTTGAAATAAACTAATTATGATTTTCCCGGTTTATTTTTGTGCCTTCTTCAGAAAGTAAAACTATCCTCCCTCTTACTGTTTCCTGCGGTTGTCTGCTCTGGCTCAGTTGGAACAGCCTGAACAATCCATCGGCAGCGCGGCTTCGTCAACTCTATAATTAGGACATTCACTCAGTGCAAAATGACATATTTGCGTGGGAATCCGACAACAAAGTGCCTAATGCGCTTTGACGTTTTTATGGGCACCCCTCATCTTAAAGGGCTTTAGTAAAAAAAAATATATGTTTGTCATATGAGCGAAGTTTGGTGAGGAACTTTTATGAATTGCGCTTAAATGCGTCTGCAGAGGCGGTCAAGATCCTCGTATCTCCCTCTGTTTGTTTCTCTCAATCTCTCTGCAAGCGACTAAATGGTTTGCACTTATAAAAAAAAGTACCCTCTGCTGAAGGTAAACTGTGCAACAGGTCAGTTCATAGTGAATTCCATCAAAAATGAATTCCATCACAGCATTTAGTACCAAAACCACACAGTCCCCTTCAAAAATGATTGGATTTTGGAGATTTTTCTTAGTGCAAATGCGTTGAGGATTCAACAAAAAGACCTATGGTCCCACAGTAGGCTGTAAAAGAAGAGTGCGCCGTGTCTCCTCATAAACGGCCTTTTTCCTTTCTCAAAATCAAATCCAGCTATAAATCCTCATTCCCACTTCATTGCAAGCAGTGGTATTCCATTTTGACTCCTCTGCATTCCACCAGTTGAAATCAAAAAGTAATGCCCAAATTCCAGCTTGTTTTCCATTAAACTGCAAAGCAGCATCCAACAATTGTGCCTTCTGTCTTCGAGGTGACACCTCCAGCTGCGATGCCGACATTGAGCGCTTTTATCCGGAAGGTTGAGCGACACTTCACCGCTTGGTGTCCAGGGGCGAGACCATATGGCGCAAATCTTAGCTGAAATGAAATCCTTAACGCAAATACCCTGTGCAAAACTTTTGCACTGCCTGCAGAATGCTAAATAGCAGTACCATCAAGTTGCAATGAATTATTTTTAGAATTAATTAGTAAATATAAAGAAGGTCAAATTATGAATTTATAGTAATTTTCTAAAATGTTATAATTAGAATCAGAGTTCTATCTTGAGGTTTTACAAATGTAAGTAAACTGGATGAGTTTTTAAGAGAGTGCAGGAAGACGACCTTTCAATTACCTTTCCTAATCCCCTCTTTTTATTCCTTTCTTGTAAGTATATCCACAGTGAATTGGTTCCTCCAAAAGGCACAGCGAGGGTCCTTTGCAGCGGCTATAATCCTTAGAGATCTTGCGCTGCGAGAGCATATGTGCGCTGTTCTGTTCGCGTCCACGGCCGTCTTCACAACTGCGCTCCAGCTACAGCGACCTGTAACTGATTCAATGTTACAGTCCACCCCCCTCACCCGAAAAAAGTAATCATCTGGCTCAAAGTAAATAACTCTCAGGAAATGGCACCCCCCTCTCCCTCAGTCTCCCCTCTGAGCCCTAAACTTCTTTTCAAAGTAAGAGTCTTCAGAGGAAACCTAGAAAATTATCCAGATGAGAGAAAATTATGAAAAACTTGGTCTGCGAAACCTTTTTAGACAAAAGTCTTGATAAACCTTGCAATGTGTATTTCTTTTTGTTTCTTTTACAAATAATGTATACTTTTGTCAACTTTTTCTTCCAATTTCTGACTTCATAAAACTGGCTCCTGTTATAGAAAAGAATAGAACATATTTGTTGCTTTTGCATAGCAGATTAGTTACAAAAAGCCACATTTCTCGTGTCTCCAAATTTGGGTTCTGATCTCGTCCAGAGGGCGCTCATACACCACCATAGAATGGCTTACCTCTCTCATTGATTTCATTCGATTTCTATTAAAAGAAAACGAAGCATCAGAATAGTCTTTCTTTCTTCTTGTGCTTCAAAAAATGAATAGGACCCATATTTACTGCTCAGATCCATCAGTATGGTCAATTTCTAAAACCTTATCCCTCTATACCCCGGGGGGGCTCCCTGACGGGTATCAGAGGAATAATGGGCCCCTGTGAATTACCTATCTCTTGGCACAAAATGGGAGCATCAGACCAGTGTGTGTGGACAGGGCCCCGGGGCAGATTCCGCAGTACCCCTCCTCCTCTTCTACCTCACTCCATGCAGCCGCTTGGCGCAATTACTTCCACATGTTAGGGGAAAGAACAGTGTCCTTGTTCTCCAAACAAAGGATCTCAGCTTAGGAAGACCCAGCTTCCCTCAAAGCAAGTTTAGGCTCTCGCTTTAGAGCAATTACATCCAGGTAACCTGGTTTAAAAATCTTAATAAAGCTTGTGGTTTGATGTCAATTAACCATTAAAAGGCAAAACAATCAACACATATATACATAGAAATACATATATATTTTAGCTTTTCTGCTTTTTTTTTTTTTTTTTTTTGTGTGTCTGTGTGTGCCTTTTTTAACCAGAAACATCACCGTGGCTCACTGAATTTATAGCTTCCTGCTCCCACGTCAAAAATCCTAATAGTGGTGTGTCCGACCTTTCATGACATTAACGGTCCAGCAGGGGGCTTTGAAGCAATTTGCAAATGCCATTCCACACACACACACAAAAAAACTCTCTCTCCCTTCTCACCAGTAATAACGTTGTTAAAGTTGGATATAATATATACATATATATTTGTGTTTTAAGACAAACTTAACAGCAACATAGATGTTATATATTCGATATGCCTTTTTATTTTATTATGAAATGCTCTAATAGCCACCAACAAATTATGATTTTGTGACCCAAAAAGAAAAAAATTCCCCGCTTTAACAGTTGAAAACGTATTCTAATTCTTTTCATGCCCCATATTTTGTTTTGTTCATGCGTCAAGGTGGAATGTTTTAAAGTTCAAATAAAATGATAATGGGACCTTTGGGCGGTGGGCCTCTGTGGGAGCTGTCCTTGGTTCTGAAATATGTTTTTTTTCCCCCCCTACTTAACCAGTTTACTGCAAAACAAAAGTATTCTTACCTGCTTGCCTGCTTGTCTGTTTGTCTCTCTGTCCAAGTCATACCGACAAAAAAGTGGTGCTTGATATTTTAATGCAATCATTGCTGGCATGACACGCTTGTTACTTCAGCAACAAAAATTTACCAGGTAAATATCTTACGCTCCTGTGTTTTAAGTCAGAGGGCTATTTTTATGAAATACGGCCAGACCTATCCCCATTTCCCATACTCATGATTATGACAACGACGAAGAGAAAGCATGACATTCTGAAAGTGTTCTGAACCCAGGATAGTTTCTCATAGGAAGACTTTTGGAATATATGTTCCCAATTTGATTTCCAGCAAAAACATAATATCTCCTGTTCTTTATTTATTTATTTTTTTTTTTGTCATGCTGGTGTTCCAGCGCTCTCACCTAGGTTATTGAGTGGTGCACTAATTTAATCGGTCGGTTTTATTTAGTGGAGACATGTCCTAAATAAATTACCTTGTGGTTTTGCTACCAACATGTCTCACTGAGGTGATTGTGTTTTGTCATTTCGATTGTGAATGGGAATGTTTTTATGATTCACTTAGTTAGTGAATTTGTGCAGAAAGCAGACATTGCACTGAAGAAAAGCACCCCACAGTATGATACTGCCACAACATAGGCCTATATAGATTTTTTTCCTTTGTGCTTTTTGTTTTTAGGGGCACAAAAGGTGTTAGTTTGCAACCGCATATAACATGCTGTGTGAGGATCAGGAAGCTTAATTTGATTCCACTTACAGACATAATCAGGATAATCTTTTTTTAAACAGACTGTTACAAAAGCTTCAAACAGTTGGATGTGCTAACCAAAGAGGGAGACCACACATCAAAATGGACCGACTGGATGAGACTTTAAACAACAGACTGTCAATATTTACAATAATTATTATTGTAAATATGTATATATATATATATATATATATATATATATATATATATATATATATATAGAGAGAGAGAGAAAAAATCAACCAAATCAACCAATCAAAGTTAACCTCGTACACTAAACATTATGCTGCTTCCACTGTGTTCTTTTTTGGAGTTTGTGCAAATATGTGGACAAGTTTCTACTAATGAAAACCTTTGCTTCTCATTCTGCTTCTGGGATAGATGGATATTTTTGGACCCTGGAATAGCGCACTGACTCCCACTATTAGAAATGGACGTTACTTAGTAGTGGGAGGGACAACGCAGCCCCCCTCATTACCCTCATCCCCCCATCCAGTACTTCAACTTCTTCTAGCCTCCATCTCTCCGCATGAGACAGCAGCTGCAACCAGCTGAAAAGCGCTCTTATTAATTGTCTTTTGTCATGCGTAATTGCCCCGTTTTCTATGGCGTCCCATCTCCTCTTTAGAGATATATTGTGCTTATTTTTCGGTTTATTGGCAGGTAAAACCATCCCTTTTCTTTGATTTTGCCTCTAAAGTCTCTATATAATCTGCTGCACATTCCGTTTTAAAGAGATTTTGTGTTTTGTAATGTTGCGCATTTTAATGCAGCGCCAACTGGAAACTAAGTTCACGGTGGCCTTAAAGTCCAGGTCACGTCCTGCGAATCTTAAAACGGGTCCATTCTATTGGTCCAACACACCTGCAAGGGAACTTTAATTCGGTTAATGGGAAGTTCAATATATATTCATTAGATGGCTTTCCCCAGATAATATACGATCAGCAGCGGGATGTGAAAGAAAACCATTTATTTGCACTCTGAAAGGGTCTGCATGGGACCAAAACTTCACCTGCTTCCCCTCTCAATTAGGAATGTATCCCAAACTCCAACAGAAACGAGTTAAATTAGGCGTCCGCTAATTTCCAGTGGCCCCTCCCACGTAATCCCCAAGTCCATTTAAGCATGCCTCCTTTTAATTCACTTTAAGTTGAAAGGTTCAAATAGTGCCTAATGAAACAGTGACTAAATCGTCCTCTGTGGCTCCAAGGAACCCTGTCGATGTCCCTCAAAGCTCTCTGAGCACGCAGCCGTCGGGGGTCCCAGGCTAAATGCGGGTCCCAAGGCAGGACAATCTAACCTGTCAAAGCCTTTGCCCACTTCTATATATCCTCGTTTTGGGGCTTCAGCCATTGGCGGCATAGTCAACCAACGTGGGACCGAAAACGCAATTAAACTCGCTTTGGAACGACTGAAATCCTTTCAGAGGCAAACATTAATGGACGATTGGCTGCTCCCCAGGGGCGTTATCGGGTACCCTTTTGTATGAAAAAAATCTAAGGAGAAATTACAACTAGGCCTTCTCCATCCATCCATTTTGAGTTTAACAGGCAAGATCATTTGAATTGAATCCTGCGTGATGTTTCTGAATAAAATGAGCCTTCAGTTTAATGCAGCACCCTGATAATGGAAGCTTAATAGGAATAGCTGTTCATTATGAGCACATTTAAATGTGATGCTCTAAAAACAAGGGTAATGGTATGGAATAATACATATAATTGTTTAAAAAAAGTTGTTTTTTACAGTGTTATGCTTTAACTTTAAGTCATAAATGCACACACTGTAAAAGATCATGTGGATTTGATTGTTAAGAAATGATTCATTAAAGTTCTTCATTTCAAGCAAAAGACAGCTTGGGGTCCCTTTAAATTTGCATGTTTGTTTGTGTCTGGTGTTAATTTCATATTAAAAGTTGTGTTCTGTTTATTACTTTACTCCATTTTATTATTCTTTTTTATTTATATTTGTAATCTATAGACAAAATCTTTTCAGAAGCGATAAAAATATATCACATATTCCTGAAAAAGCCCCACATATTCCTAAAGGTTCCTTCATCTTATGTAAACTAAAAAAAAAATTACATCTTCCTGAAGGATCCTTCCATTCTAGATGCGTTAATGTGTGGAGGAATTTTTGCTTTTAGGTTTTTTGCTTTTCGTTTTTTTAATTTTTTTTTATTGTTTGTGTCCTGAAGATTTCTAGGACCCCCCTCCTGCACAGCTAAAACACTAAAACACCCATGGAAGAACACTGACTACATATGTGTACAGTATATTCTTCTTTTGTTACATTTATTTCTTTTATTTTAAATTTTTTTCAACAAAATATCATAGTGTATTTGTTGCCCACTCTTGAACAAATCCTTAAATTGAACAATTTAGATTTTAATTTATTTCATAAATTAATTTAAATAGCTGGAAAATAATCTTAGATTAACTTTGTAACTTCTTTTTTGATGGTGGGGGTGGGTGGATAAGGGGGCGAAATGTTTGATTTATTCACTCTTCTTCATGTGTTGTCTTTGTTTTAGTGACCTGAAGAAGTATTGTTCCAATCAATATGTAAAGTTTAAAGATACTGTAACCTTGTGCTAACATCCTGTCTTGCTTAATCAAAAACGTGGAGCTTTTTAAAACCCAATACTGAACATATTGGACCTGGCCTACATATCAAACATGTTAACATTTAGTTATTTTGGGGGGAGTTTTAACAAGACATGCTTTTAATGTATTTAGAATGTTCTGTTGTATTAAAACCATCTCTTTACTTATGTCACAGAACAATAATAAGAGTGTGCGTTTTGGCATATTTGTGATTCAGGATATTTTGTAAGGCTTAATTACTTATTAACAACTGGTCGGTTCATTCTCTATCTTTGTTGGTACCTTCCTATTAAAAAGTAATTGTATGTACCAGGCTATTTAATTGGGTTATAATTTCTAAGTATTTTTAAAGATAGTTTATAATGAAAACGCTAAGAAATCATGTATGTAAATTTATATTCTTAATGATTTACCTTACAGACAGATCCTTCCTCCCAGCTGCTCTAAGACTCTATAACCATCAGTGTTTCCAAAAAACTCATTAAGTTGTTACATTTATGCTGATTTTTGCACAGTTTCTGTCTTAGTCAGTTAAATAACTTCTGTCCTTTTTTTGCACACCTCTGATGTTGCTGCTATTTTTCACATACCCATCACTGTAAAAATGTCCACAGCTGTTGATTATTTATTCTCCATATACAGAGTAGGCCGATTTATATTGAAAAAAAAAACACTGTACATTACAGTGATTTTTATTTGTTTATTTTCTTAAATCACTTATTCTGTTAGTTTTATACACTTTTCTAAGGTCTGCTGTAAAAAAAAAATCCCCATTGTGGGACAATAAAGGGATTCTATTCTATTCTATTCTATTCTATTCTATTCTATTCTATTCTATTCTATTCTATTCTATTCTATTCTATTCTATTCTAATAATTATTTAGTTTCTGACCAGGTCATTGATGATAACTGAAAGGTTTTCGACTTTCCGACCAAACCAAAGCAACCCCAGGCTACCACTCCGAGGATGATCTTCCTAAAACCTATACCATATCAGTGTCATTGTCTATGAAACCACATTTTTTTGTAGATTTTGCGTGAACTATAAAAGCCATTCCAAAGCATCTCGTGCACCAAACTGCGAAGGCGTGAAATAAAAAGATCCAGGCGTGGAGCCTCAGTGTTTCAAATCAGTACACGGACACAGTCATCAACTCATACTGTTTATTACAATAAATACAGATATACACATTTTTTTTCTTTTACCAAATGGCTGCAGGTCACAGGTCCACACCTCAAACCTGGCCTATTTTTAAAGGCTCTCTGATCCAATAGCTGCACCGCAGGTTCTGTGATTACTCACAACATTTATTATAGGTAATTAACAAGAACTGAACATCTGAAGTACAGGCGGTTGTGTTAATAGTATCTCACTGAGATATGGAATTATTTTAAATGTAAATACTTCATGCAGGAAAGAAGCCATATTTTTTTGCATTGGCTCAGAAGTTGCATAATGCCATCAGGAGCATGCGGGGCAGAGTAAGTGCCTGTAACGGGACTCATGGAGAGTTAAGTTTTTTTTTTTTTTTTTTTTTTTTCATTTTTTATATTGGTGAAACTTCTTTCTCCTCTGATGCGGAGACTGGAGATAAAGATTCTTCATCCTCCGACCTGGAATAGTTCGTGTGAGTGCTGGCGCACTTACAGCCGCCGTGCGCGCTCCTTTGCGTGGCTTTACCTTCTTTCTTGTGCTTTACTCTGCGGTTCTGAAACCAGATTTTCACCTGCTTCTCAGACAGGTTCAGATACGTAGCGATCTCAATCCGTCTAAGTCTTGACAGGTACATGTTTGTAGAAAACTCCCTTTCCAGCTCCAGGAGTTGCGTGCTTGTGAAAGCCGTGCGCATCCTTTTGCCGTTCTGTAGGTGGGTGTTTTCGGTGGAGCCTCCTGTAATATAAAAAAGAAAGTTTTTAGCAGGAAGTTCAACTTGTCATTTCTGTGAGGACGCACACTAATGCGCGTCAATCCCCCTGCGTAAAGGTGTATCATACATTAATCTAACGTATGCTGGACCATAAAGCAAACAAGTGCTTACCGATGGAAAGGCAGTGGTATCTCCTGGGATCTGTGACGCCAAAGGTGGGCGTGCAGACAGGTGTGTGTCCAGAATGCGCCAGCGCAGAAGGCTGCTGCTGCGATAGCCTTTGACAGTACGGTGTCTCCATACCTGGAAACTGACTCTTCAGTATAGGAATACCACCGCGAGAAGACTGGATGTGCGATGTGACACACAGCGGGCAAACGCAGAAAGTCCCGTTCTTCCTGGAGGGGCACATCGGAGTGGTGACCGTCATTACGCTTGGAGAGTGCACGCTGATGGGAAGCAGGAAGTCCTGGGTCTGATGCTCGGTCGCTCCGGTTCGCACCGTATCCTTGATAATCAAAGAATCAACGTAGAAAGACCTCGACATGTCTGTACATCTGAGATGAGATCGCCCAGTGCGCAGGATGAAGACTGTTTCTCATGTGAAGCCCTCGGGATCTCTAAAGGTGCTTATGTTTGATGGTTCAACAAAAGGGACCCCGAAGAGGGGTTGGCGCTGCATCGTCACCCACGTGCGCACCCAACTCCAAAGGTTTGTGCTGTCAATGACCCAAACCACGTGATGTTGATCTACTTCTCCCATCATAACTCACAGTTTGAGGATCATTCTTTTAATCAACCTTTTAAGCACGTTTGTCTAAAATATAAAAGCTTATAAGACTTTAAAGTTACACTTTCTAGCAAAGGTTGCAACACTTTTTCATCTATCTATCTATCTATCTATCTATCTATCTATCTATCTATCTATCTATCTATCTATCTATCTATCTGTCTGTCTGTCTGTCTGTCTGTCTGTCTGTCTGTCTGTCTGTCTGTCTGTCTGTCTGTCTGTCTGTCTGTCTGTGTACAGTTTTAAAACTTGTTCATCCAAAGTTTTTAAATATGAACAATGTGTTAAGTTAAATCAGAAAATGTATCCAAACACTTAACATTATAACAGACTGTTATAAACAATAAACATAATCCTAACAACAATGTTTTGATTAATGAAACTGTTGCAGGCAAATTCGTATTATCTGCTGTGATCAAAATCTATACTTTCCCCAATTCTCCCTTTTTGCCGAAATGCGATCGAATGAATAAGCAAGGATAAATGGACTAATTTGCTCAGCAGCCATAATCACACTTCCAATCCGGTTGGTCCAGGTTTCATTTCCAGCAATTAAAGAATTATGAACCGACGGCGAGTCTGGGCCGCGGCTATTTGACGGCGATTAGGATTCAATTAGAAAGTGTTTATAATGGTGGCTCTGTGCGGGGGTACATAGGCAGCTATTTCAGAAATGCGATAATCCCTCATCTTGTGACGATAATTAGCGAGTTTAATCCCCCTGGCGGGTCACCGGGCAGGAGAGGAGAGGAGAGGAGAGGAGAGGAGAGGAGAGGAGAGGAGAGGAGAGGAGAGGAGAGGAGAGGAGAGGAGAGGAGAGGAGAGGAGAGGAGAGGAGAGGAGAGGAGAGGAGAGGAGAGGAGAGGAGAGGAGAGGAGAGGGTAATGGCTTTAGGATGCAGGAGGTCCAGGTCCAAAATTCAGGAATTACACTTGTAAAAGACATTGTAATTGTACAAACATTACAGCTTGCGCCTTTTTTATTTTACAGATATAAACAAACGGGGAGAGGTGTACCTCTCACCCATAGACTCCTGGAGACAGGCAGCAGCCCCACAGTGATCCTGATGGAATAAGTGGGAGAAGATGGATGTATGGATTTAAACAAACAGCTTTGAAATAAGACAGACACAGACCACTTTTAAAATTGTTTTTATATAATACATATTTAGTTAAGTAAATTATTTCCATTGAAAAATCGCAGGCTATTCTGTAAAGTTTAGCCACCAAAGATTCTATTCACAGATTTGTCTTCTGCCATGGAAATGCTATATATGTTTTAAGAACAAAATGGTTGCAACACCGTTTGGGTAGATTTTAAATATTTCTGAGTTTGGGTTTTAACTTGAAAAATAGAGCCAAGGCTTTCATAACATGTCGATTTTCTTTTCTTTTTTTCAAAATGATACAAAGAGGCCAAATAAAATATCTCCTCTCCACTCTGTATCATTTGGTTTATGCTTTATTAGTTTAAGAATGGGAACATTATTAAATTGATAGTGCTTTAAGAAATGATATAGAGTTATCATTGGATTTAATTATATAGTAAAATAGAGCCTGCCCCAATTGTTATTGTGACTAAGTCTTTGGTCAAAGTGGAAATGGTGAACATAGTTAACATTACCTTTCTGTAACTTGTTTTAACTGCATAGCAGGTAAAAGTTGCTGTACAAAGTAAAGTCAGCAAAACAGCTAACTGGTATTCAAATAAACTCACAAATAGCCTGATTTTTACCATCTTAATACTTTTTATTTAATATAGAGGACATCTTATTTAGTTGCTGTGATCATAATGAGTAAACTGAGTTAAAACGACCAAAAATCATACCCTATAGCATAAAGTTTATGTTTGTGGTTTTGCTGGGTTTTGAACCAAACTAGCCGGTTATTTACTTTTGCTTATTCCAAAATCGACTTTCTTTAAACCCTACAACTTCAGATCAATCAGAATCAAACAGACCTGATTAATAAGTGTACAGTTTCGTCAATCATGAGCATGGGAAGTCAGTTTTCTGAAAGCTGAGGATCCCCGCTGCTTCACAAAAGATAGCTCTGCTGGGTCCTCCTTAACTGACAAACAGCCGCCTCCACTCTTTCTTTTCAACATGTTTGTCCTACAGGGTTAAAAGAAACCAAACAGAAAAACTACAACTGAGGTAACATTGTCCCTTAGATTGTGCATGAAATGTTTAAGTTGCATTTACAAGACAAAAATATCTTAACCATGATGATCACTACATGCATAAGCCTGTATATTTGATTAAAATAACTTCCAAATTCCCCTTTAAGTGTTTTTTTTTCTTTTTATCTGAGCTCTGAAAGAACAAAAGTGCAAAAATAATTTGAACAACCCAAATTTGAATTTCAATTTGTTTCATACTTTTTCCACATTATATAAGACCTTATTAGAAAATAAACTCATGATCGCAACGGAGCTAACAGGCCAATGGTTCGTTTATTCAAGTGTGGCTTTAGATGCACTCCTGGAAAGATTAGAAAGTCTTTAAAATCCAACCATCCCAAAGATAAAACGGGCATATCTGTCACATAGACAGTAATTGCTCTAATAAAGTGAATTTGGTGTTTGACAGGGAGGACACACAGTTTTTTTTGATAAAGATATGAACTGCAGAGTGAAGTGAAGTGAGGAGGGGCAGATGGGGATGAAGAGAGGAGAGCAAGCAAACCGAGCGGAATGATGTGTGGCGCGCGCCCTCAGCACACCATGCAAGCTCAGATATTATTTTTTCATAATTCTGCATGATAAAATTTCATTGTCTATTAAGTAATCCAGCAAATGAGATCCTTTATGAGGGTATAATGAGACCTAATTGCAAAGACTAGTGGAGTCACGTGGAAGGATTTAGGAGGCATTAAGCCGTCGGGTACTGAGCACAGACTGTTACCTAGCCATTACTTTCATAATTCAAGGAGAAAATTAGTCCATTTAAGGGGAAAAAAACCCTTTGATTCCATTTATTCTGCTCAAGTTGACAGGATTCCAGTTTTCCCCCTTTTGGTTAAGATGCCTGTGCAACAAATGAGGCTTGTAAACCATCAGTCACTCTTTAAATGTTAAATAATAAAAGAGGTGAATATCAGAAACATAAAAACAAAACAAAACATAAAACAAAAAAAAAACAAACAAAAAAAAACAAAAAAACACAGAGAGGCCTATACTCTCAGTTTGCCTGTTCTTTCCCCTCCACTGCTGTGCACCCTTTAGTGCAACAGTTCCCCTTCACTATTCAGCGCCTTTTCAAACCCTGTTGATGGGCAATTAATCACTGGGCTATTCAGAAACATAAAAAATTCAATTGGATCAAGAATATGATAAAACACTGATTCTTTTTAGAGTATTTGTGAGTTTATACACGGTGGCATCATTTCACTGTATCTGGTTTAACGTCAGAGAGGGTTAATGAGTCTAGATGAAGTAAAAGGAACAAAGTTGTCAAATTGCAATGCTGAAGCCCCCCCATTCACTTTGCATTGCATGCCATATTATACTGTGAAGAAGACCATTAAAGGTTTGTTCTACAAGCGTCATTAACTTGTATAAACGCCCTTCTTTTTTACAAACTTAGCATTGTTGTGCAGAGGATGATTTGCTCCTTTATTAGTCTCCAGGCAACACATACTGAAGAACACTATGGAACCCTCTGTATACATTCAAGTGGCAAAGGGGGGAATGAACAATGATCCCATGGATGACATAATGTCACGCAATGACTTTTCATTAGCAATTATCTGTTTGATGTGAACAGCAGCTGCAGCGGCTTCTCCCCATTTTGGGGTCTGCAGGAGAAAAGAGCAGGGCAGAGAAAAAGAGACTTGTTTGTGAATGGCATCCTGCAGGAGTCTGGGGGACCTGACGGTGTCCATGAATGTGGAATTTAATTTATATCACAATGAATAATTGGGTTTGTATGCAAAACTGAGTTGAAAATAATTACATGTTAAAGACTGTGACAGCGTAGAAAGGAAAAACAAAGCAGTCTTTTTAATGTCTCCTGCCAGGAGTTTCATAGTATTTTGAGATCAATAAGGTGCAGAAAACATGGATCAGGAAGGAGATTCTTTAGTATCAGAGGACTGTTCTGTTGCAGATATATCCTTAAATCTTTCTACAAACAGCTCCAGTGATTGGACGCAGACAACATCATTAAGGAGCCCAGGCCCTCAGCCCTTTAGAAAACTAAAGTGACAGCGTCAGTGGAGGAAGAGGTTTCTGAACAAAGCCAATGAGGGCCCCGTTGATGGCCTATAGAGATGTCCTGCACCAGGCTCCCTCTAATTAGAGAGACGCTCCTCAGTCTCACATAGCCGTTCAGTGCAGACACTCCAGACTGAAGTGTGTCCCCCGTGCCCAAACGAGTGTGTCTGGACGTCCACACTCAATGCTGCATGGATACGAGGCTGCGCTTCATGGCTCACACAATCAAGGAGTGCCGAAAATGAGATAAACACCGACTGATTGCGATGCTAAAGTTCATGGAGAAACATCTTTATTGAAGCTTATTGTTGAAACTGATTTGTCCCCATATCTCCAATTATTTCCAAAAGACTAAGCAAATGCCATTAGACGGATGGCTCAGAACAGCCCTTATTTCAATCTGTTCTTGCTTGAATTGTCAAAGAGTCTTGAGTTTCTGTCGGTATTGTAGATAAGAGGCGTCCCCATTGTTGTTTACTTTGCAGTACATCTTCGTTATCAGCTGTAAGGGCTCATTACTGGGCCCCTCACTGGTTTCAAAGAAGATCAAGATGCTGTTTTGCTTCTGTTAATGAATGGCCTTTTAGGAAAACTAGGGCGATGCCTGCTAACTTAAGAAGAGTATTCCAAAGCCGCAAAAAATCATCTGAATTTATTTCACATAAAAGTAAATGCTGAGCCAAACCTGGA